TGACTTGGACATAATCATGTCCATAAAAACGAGTTCGGATCTTCGGCCGCACATTCCTACGGCCCTCCCAGCAGCACTACAAAATGACGTCGTTTTGTATATATATATATATTATTTTTTTTTCCTTCCTTTGTTTCTTATTCAGCTTTCCCCTTTCCTTTTTTGAACCCTAGACACAGAGGCGACGAATCTGGACGAAGGAGGAAAAGACGACGATCTGGATGAGCCCCTGTCGTTTTGTATATATATATATTATTTTTTTTTCCTTCATTTGTTTCTTATTCAGCTTTCCCCTTTCCTTTTTTGAACCCTAGACACAGAGGCGACGAATCTGGACGAAGGAGGAAAAGACGACGATCTGGATGAGAGTTTGAGCTGACGAACGGAGAGGCAACGGAGGCGAGGCGCGGCGAGAGACGAACAGACAGAGTCAGCGAGAGACGAAGAGAGGGTGACGAGGTTCGTTTCTCTCCCTTTGGTATGCTTGTCTGATACTCTCTGCAATAGATTTTTCTATTCTTTTTTTTGCCCATACTCTTTTTTTTAAGTTAATGTTGTGATAATAAATTAGAATCATTATGAATTTGTGTAAATTTGTTATAATTTTTCCATTATTATCACAACAAATTAGAATCATTTATAATTTTTAAAAGAATGATTCTGAATTTGTGTACAAGAATGATTAAAAGAAATTTATCAAATTAGAAAAAAATTTATCTAATTTGTGTGAATCATTCTTGTACACAAATGATTCTAATTTGCAAATTATAAATGATTCTAATTCTAATTTGCAATATGATTAAAAGAATGATTCATTCTTATAATCTGTGTGATTAACAAGAATGATTACAAAATCTATTATAATTTTTCCATCTCTGATAAATTTGTGTGAAGACCAGCCACAAGAATGATTCTGAATTTGTGATTCTGAAAGTGAATGATTCTGAATTTGTGATTCTTAATGATTCTGAACTTGTGAAGACCAGCCACAAGAATGATTCTAATTCTAATTTTTCCATCTTTGATTCTGAATTTGTGTACAAGAATGATTCTGAATGTACAAAAATGATTCTGAATTTATGATAAGTGGAAAATTTGAATTTGTGATTCTAAATGTACAAAAATGATTCTGAATTTGTGAGAATAGAATGCTCATATGAGAATAAATCCAGCATGAGTTAATGGGCTTTGAGAATAAATCTGGGAATGCAAACACAGAATACAGCATAGATCACAATAAATCTGGGAATGAGTTATTCAATAAATCTGTGTTTGCATTCCTCTGTTTACTAGTGGAAGCTGCATGGAGTCTTAAAACAGAATTTCATATATAAAAATATAGGCATGAAGAAACATATCTTGCTATTTCTCTGTTTATTCATTCTCATCTAGAAAAATGATTCTGAATTTGTGATAAGTGTAAAATCTGAAATTGTGATTCTGAATGTACAAAAATGATTCTGAATTTGTGAGAATAGAATGCCCATATGAGAATAAATCCAGCATGAGTTAATTGTCTTTGAGAATAAATCTAGGTTAATTGAGAATAAATCTGGGTTAATTGGCTTTGAGTTAATTGGCATGAGTTAATCCAGCATGAGCATAAATCCAGAATGCCCGTTTGAGAATAAATCTGGGTGTAAAATCTTTGTGATGAGTTAATTGGCTTCAAATAAGTGTAATGCTGGATTCCCTTTGTGATGAGTTAATTGGCTTCAAATAAGTGTAATACTGGATTCCCTTTGTGATGAGTTAATTACCTTTGAGAATAGAATGCCCATATGTTTGTCTGATGTATGAACTTGTTACCTACATCTCTTAACTTCAAGTGTGGTTAGATCTGTGTTGCATTTGAAATTGACTTTTGTGTTTACTTGTAATTATGATTGACATGTCAACGAGTTCAAACAATGATGCTGGATTTTTTCAAAATAAAATATGCAAATGTGGGAAAAAAGTAGGAGTGTACATATCAGAATCAGAGAAAAATCCAGGGAAGTTGTATTTCAAGTGTGCAAGTAAGGCTTGTGACTACTTTGCGTGGGGAGTGGCTCCTACTGGGAATGGATCAAATATCCAAAAGAGCGGGTGTGATTATGATTTTGTGAGAAACAATGAAGTTGTGCATATCTTGGAACGACTTGAGGCAAACCAACGAGAACGACTTGAAGCTATCAAATTCATGATGTTGACAACCATAGTGATGATTGGTTTTACCATGCTAGTGGTGCTACTGAAGTGAACTTGTATTTCTACTGAGTGTAAACCACTACTTGTAGAACTTGTATTTAGTTTTGAAACTTTTATATGTGCATGTAAAATCCAAACAATTTTTAATTAATGAAGTGACTATGCTATGTCAATTGTGTTGATTAATGATATTGAGTGCTATGTATATGATGTATGAAGACTGATGCTATGAAAAGAAAGTGAATATGATGTTATGTGAGTACAAAGTGAATATGATGTTGCATGATAGATGATCAATCCTTTACACAGGGCACTGTACTGCAATTCTTTCATGGGTTTTAGCATGTTAAATCATAAAAGAGGCATCTCAAAGTAATCCTCAAAGAGGCATCTCAAAGCAAGCTTCCCAAATATTAAAAATAATATGATCACTCAAACATCCTGCATCACCTCACCATGAGTCAACAAAATCAACATCCTGCATGACCACATCATGCCTAGCCACTTGAATTGAACCTGTGCCCCAAGGAATTTAACCTGTCCAACTTCCCTAATCACTAACCACTACAAAATATTGACTAACACAAACGTAAATAAAAATCTACACAATAAAGGCATTCTAGATGAAAATCATAAGAACTTTATATATGCATACACACAATTCCATGAAAAAGAACATTGTTCCCAAACATTAAAAATATATAAAAAAGATGTTCATCAAAAATATCCAATTCCCACCAAACATTAAAAATACATAAAAAAGATGCTCATAAAAAATATCCAATTCCCACCAAACATTAAAAACACATAAAAAAAATATTCATAAAAAATATCAAAATCCCACCAAACATTAAAAAATACACCCAAATCCACAAATATAATAACATCATCGTTCGGTGCAAGCCTTCCACGGATGTCCATCCACATGACTGTCAGCAGGACTATGTGAGGCTTGTGACAGTTGGACTGCAGTAGTACCTCGAAGCAATTCCTGAAACGACGTCGGAGTGGGATACACTAAAGGCATTGAATCAGGCGGCATTGACTGAGGCGTGTTATTTCCCTGCAATAGTGATACATGTATTAAAATATTTATAGAATCTATACTATAATTTCAATGTAAAGTATGTAAGCAATTACAACTCACATCATATGCAGGATACATGACATGATGAACACTTGTATGACCCATGGAAAATGAAGGTTGAGATTGGGATTCAGGTTGAGATTGGGATTCAGGTTGAGATTGGGATTGAGATTAAGAAATATAGATTGCACGACCATGACCCTACAGTAAACCAACATAAATAAAAGAAGAAGTGAAATGAAAAAAAAGTAATAATGCATTTTCATTTTTAAAAACAGACAATATGAAATTTACCTCAACATAATTACTACGACCCATGGAAAAAGAAGGTTGAAATTGGGATTCAGGTCGAGATTGGGATTGAGATTAAGATTGAGAAATATAGATTGCACGACCATGACCGTAAAGTAAACCAACATAAAGAAAATAAGAAGTGAAATGAAAAAAAAGTAATAATGCATTTTCATTTTAAAAAACAGACAATATGAAATATTACCTCAACATAATTACTACGACCCATGGCAAAAGGAGGTCGAGATTGACCTTGTGGAGTGTAAACACCCTAAAGTAAACCAACATAAAGCAAAGAATAAGACAATGTGAAGAAAAAAAGTTAATAATGCATTTTCATGTAAAAAAACAAACAATATGAAATATTACCTCAACATAATTACTACCCATGGCAAAAGGAGGTCAAGATTGACCTTGTGGAGTGTAAACACCCTAAAGTAAACCAACATAAAGAAAAGAATAAGACAATGTGAAAAAAAAAAGTTAATAATGCATTTTCATTTTAAAAAACAAACAATATGAACTTTGCAGAGTGTAAACAGTAACACCCTATACAACCAATGCACGCTATGTTGGTTCCGTATGAGGTTCAATTTCCCTAAGGTCTATGCATGTCAAAGGTTGCATACAAAATTAAATATTACCTGTATTGAATGATTACCCATGGCAGAAGAAGGTTGAGATTGACCTTCATAAGTAGAAAAAGAACCACCCTACATGCATCACAAGAGACCAAAAATAATAAATATCACGCTACCAGTTGCAAGAATAACCAATCCAACAAATTAATACAAGGTTGCACACAATAATAAAAATTACCTGACTAGAAATATTACCCATGGCGACAGGAGGCTCAGATTGACCTTCAGGAGTACAAAAACCATCGCCCTGCAAACAACCAAATTATTTAATTCATTATTTTCCAAACACACATAACACAAAATTGATAACACTTTACAATCACACATAAAAAAACTAATTACCTGCTTAGATTGCATTTTTTTCTTCTTTGCAATAGATTTTTCCATCCCGCCCTTGATCCTCCTTCTTCCCTTACTAGTTGCTTGTCTTTTCGTGAGTCCCTTGGCTTGGATTGGACAATCTACATCATCACTCTGTGGGCATGTGTTAGCTGAGGAATTTCTGAATTCAATGATCTCCACTTGACCACAAGTGTGCACACTTAATTTGTCTTCAACCATGGCACTCAGTTCTTCACCTTTTGCAAGTGACAAATGATAAGTTTCTTCACTTTCGGTGGCTCTACTTGTTATTGCTCTAAATATATTCATCAATGACCTATATCGGTCGCTTTGATGTAGTTTCACATCAGCCTTGACATCATACCCACGCCTATCTTTCACACTTTCAGTCCTTGCTTTTTTAGTCCATCGTTTGAGTATGTATTGTGCAGAAAGGTCCTTTGCATTGATTATCTCTTTAAGTACCTTTCTTCACCTTTTGTAAGTAACAAATGATAAGTTTCTTCACTTTCGACGGCTCTACTTGCTATTGCTCTAAACATATTCATCAATGACCTATATCGGTCGCTTTGATGTAGTTTCACATCAGCCTTGACATCATACCCACGCCTATCTTTCACACTTTCAGTCCTTGCTTTTTTAGTCCATCGTTTGAGTATGTATTGTGCAGAAAGGTCCTTTGCATTGATTATCTCTTTAAGTACCTTTAAACAATGTTGACACACTATGCCCTTCACTTCAAACTTCTTGCAACTACAACTCAAAAAACCATCTCTATCCATTGTCACATTCTTATCTTTTTTTTCATCTACATCCGTTTGAATTGTGAATATGGTACTCTCACCATCATGAATAGTGCCTACAATGGACGCTTCAATGGACTGTATGTACTCATTTTGGAATTCCTCAAAAATTATTTTGGTGTAAATATCTGCCATTTGCTTTAACATCACAGTTGGAATGGAAACCCTTGGCAATTTTTGACACAAATTATACTCGGCTTCCAATTCTTTATACCTTTTGTCATAGAGCACCCTCTCAAAATGCTTGAAAAATTCCATCAAGTTATGATCACAATTGAGATAATCCTTCAAAAATGCATTGAATGATTCACTTAGTTGAGTAGTACTCATTCCAGCTGCCCAAGAATTCATAATATATGGCCATCCCCATTTCTCATTCACACCAAAAGTTTGCTCCAACCAATGATTGTTGTGTGCATCATATCTATCAAGCATTTGGTCCCATTGTACTTTGAATTCTTCATCATCATCAATTTGATGCATAAATTTTGAAAACACACCCTTCACCCCAACATCTTCAAAGAGGGAACTCACATGCTTCACAGCATTTTGCATCAAATGCCATGTACAAAGTTGGTGGTTTGTACTACACATGACAACTGGAATGGCCTTAGCCATCGCAGCATCTTGATCTGTGAAAATAGTTTTTGGAGCTTTGTTTGACATTGCCTTCAAAAAAATCTGAAACAACCATGTGAATGATTCGGCAGTCTCATCATACATCAACGCTGCACCGAATATAACTGTTTCTCGATGATGATTAAATCCAACAAATGTTCCAAAAGGTCTATGTTCGTTATTTAATTTGTAAGTAGTGTCAAAGGTCACCACATCACCAAATTGAGCATAGTCCATTATCATTTGTGCATCGGCCCAAAATATGTTACTTATTTGCTCTTCATAATCTAATTGGACTGCATAATAAAATGATGGATTTTCCAAAGTTTTCTTATGAAAGTATTGCAACACACTACCCGCTTCTCCATATTCCAAATCTTTTTGCCTCTTCGATCTCAAGTAATTTTTTTGGTCCAATTTGGTGAAGCCAAGTGATGATCTTCTACCAGATTCCCTACCAAATAGCTCATAAGCAGACCTAAGAGGAATTTCAGATTCTGAAGCCAATTCTACTTCAATTGCTTGGGTGGTAGATATTTTTCTTTGGAATGGCAACATATGAATGCACTCTTGAGGCACAAGATCATGATTATGATGTTCAACAAAATCAATGGCAACATATTTTCCTAAATTTCTATCTAACTTGAAACTAAGTCGAGCACCACAACCACACCTCACCTCTTGTCTCGGAAATTTTACTAGTGGATCTCTCTTGTCAATACCCCGAGTTCCCTCTTTGTAACATACAAGAGTCCGTGAAGTTATTTCCTTAGTATGTTTGTTCTTGTGTACATATAGCTTCCTAATACTAAAGCCCACCTTTCCGCTATAGGTATTATAAAAATCATATACAGCTTGTTCAGAGTCAAATGACATGCCCAATTTCGGCTTCCAACCACAATTAGCCAACTCATCAACAACATTATTTTCTTCGATTACCTGCAATTCGATTTATAGGTTCAATGAATCAATTTATATTACTTCGATCTATGACTTGGATTTTTTTGGACAAGTATGCCAGTGTTTAATTTTCTATCTCTAACTTTGTAATTTAATAAAGTACCTCTGTGCATCCAATTATCTAAATTATCAACATTTACCAATATCTTATACACAGGTATGCCAGTGTCTGTATTTAGATTATTTTTTTTTAATGATCATAAGTTCAAATCAAAGTTAAAAAATTACAAGTTTCTGCATCCTTTCAAATGAATGGACAACTTGAATCTAAAGGAAGACAATAAAATGTTTTGAGCATAATGCACTAGGGAATTGACTGCTTAGATGTGCTGCCCAACTTCTTTTTTTTTCCAGTAGTTACAATACCTACCTATCATTCATCATATAGGCACTAATAAATTTGATGCGCTAGGTATACTTACAGTTCATCTACTCATGTCACTTGTACTAGTTTTCAAGCTGAAGATGGGGAAAAATAAAAGATAATAAAAAAAGAATAAGGCTTAGCAATTATGCATTTTTATCTTATTCAGCATTGACTTAATTTCTTTATACAAGCAGATTAGCAGTTTGAGGCATTAGGCTATCGGCAGATTTAGGTACGTGATACATAATTTTGTTATAAAAGAATTAGCAAGACCATATTTTTTAAACCATTTTCAAAGAAGATTTGGTACCCAAGACTATGAACAATGGAATACCAATTGCATCTAGATGGGAATGAATAAACAGAGAAATAGCAAGATATGTTTCTTCATGCCTATATTTTTATTAAATCTGGGAATAAATCCATGCAGCTTCCACTAGTAAACAGAGGAATGCAAACACAGATTTATTAAATCTGGGAATAAATCCTCCATGTTTCTTTGAATAAATCTGGGAATAAACAGAGGAATGCAAACACAGATTATAGCAAATACATACATACATAACACTATATACACGGCAAATACATATATACAGGATTCGAACATGGCTGCAAATACATATATACATAACACTAAATCCAAAAAAAATGTAAATATAGAGAAATGACACAGAGACTGAAATAGACCTCGTCATGGCTGCAATGTCGCCTTCCTGCTGTCGCGTCACAGTCAGACTTGCGTCCCTCCGCTATCGTCGCGTCACAGCCGAACTCGCGTCCCTCCGCCAACCTCTCTCCATCACTGTCGCCTTCCTCCACCATCTCTCTTCGTTTTCACAGATGGCGTCAATCATCTCTCCGTTCTCCAGCTGCCTCTCTTCTCTTTCTTTCTATCCAGCTGCGTGGAAACACAGATTTATTAAATCTGGGAATAAATCCTCCATGTTTCTTTGAATAAATCTGGGAATAAACAGAGGAATGCAAACACAGATTATAGCAAATACATACATACATAACACTATATACACGGCAAATACATATATACAGGATTCGAACATGGCTGCAAATACATATATACATAACACTAAATCCAAAAAAAATGTAAATATAGAGAAATGACACAGAGACTGAAATAGACCTCGTCATGGCTGCAATGTCGCCTTCCTGCTGTCGCGTCACAGTCAGACTTGCGTCCCTCCGCTATCGTCGCGTCACAGCCGAACTCGCATCCCTCCGCCAACCTCTCTCCATCACTGTCGCCTTCCTCCACCATCTCTCTTCGTTTTCACAGATGGCGTCGATCATCTCTCCGTTCTCCAGCTGCCTCTCTTCTCTTTATTTCTATCCAGCTGCGTGGTTAGGACTAAACAGAGGAGAGAGGGATGAAGATGAAAGTCAAAATAAGAGTTCCAAGTTCAAGTGGGAAACTCGAATTTTGGGAACAAAAAAAAATTTAAAAAAAAAACCCGACTAAATGAAACGACGTCGTTTTCGCCAAAACGACGTCGTTTTGGAAAGTGCGGCAGGGAAGGCAGCAGGAAAGAGCGGCCGACGATCCTTACTCCATAAAAACACTCATTAAAAAACACTCATTTAACATTGACTAATGTTATAGGTTAAGAATATTAAATTTTCTTTTAAATAAATTATCAAATATTATATATGGGTGTGGAGTCTGTAATTTTGTAGACTTCATATTTGATCATCTATTTGGTAGAACATATAAAAACACTCATTTAACATTGACTAATGTTACAGGTTAAGAATATTAAATTTTCTTTTAAATAAATTATCAAATATTTTATATAGGTGTGGAGTCTGTAATTTTGTAGACTTCATATTTGATCATCTATTTGGTAGAAAATTTAAAACCTATAGCATTTTTCATGTTAAAGATCCTAAAAAATCTACTAAAATTTCTACCAAATATCTCATAGAGCTATAGGACCCACACAATATAAGTCTCATGTAAATCTCACACTCATGTGAGACATTTAGTAGAATTTTTAAGATTTCTAACATTTTTATTTAACATTAGCCTTCTAATTTTACACACCTCGTCGCCCATCAATCTTATAAAATTGGATAAATTATAAGTACACCTCCTAAGATTTGCTTAAAATACAAATTGTCCTTTGTGATTTGAAAAATTACAAATACCTCTTTGTCATAATTTTTTATTTAACAGAATTAATTGAAAAAAGTGAAATTTCTAACTGTTCATCTATACAATAATAAAATTATCTGTATTATTAATTGAAATAAAATTTTAACATTATTAAAAATTGTTAATTAACTTGATGATTTGTTAATAAAAAGACATATTTGTTATGAAATTAAAAACCTTAAGGGGTATAATGTAATTTCTAATTTCTAAAACCATAGAGATAATTTGTAATTTAAGAAAATCTCAAGATGTGTGTTTGTAATTTATCCTATAAAATTTATATCATCGGGGTCATTTTTGAGAAAATGATATATAAATTTCTTTTTTAAACTTACTTTTTTGATTCAGCAATATATTAAAAAAATAAATAATTAATAATTAAAGAATATACAAAAAAAATATATATATATATATATCATCTTAAATTTTCTAATAGATCGTCACAAAAATGAGTTTAACCTTTTAGTTAGAATAACACCACTTCTCATCTTTCTTAATAAATTTTTTGTAAGTAAATTTACATAAATTTAATAATTATATATTTTTTGTAAGTAAATTTACATAAATTTAATAATTATATATTTTTTGTAAGTAAATTTACATAAATTTAATAATTATATATTTTTTGTAAGTAATATCTCTTAAACTTATTAAATTTTGATCTATACAAAAATATAATTGGATCAAGAACACGCGTCTATAAACACGTAATCATAAGTATAAAGACCAATTAATAATTAGAAAATATATGAAAAAATATCATTTTAAATATTCTAATAGACTGTCACATTGTTGTAATTAAAAAATGAGTTTAACTTTTTAGTTAGAATGACACCATTCCTTTTGCTAATAAATTTTTTGTAAGTAAATTTACATAAATTAAATAATTATATATTATATATTATTGGATTATAAATTGTATCGATTAAACCCATTAAATTTTGATCTATACAAAAGTATAATCGGATCAGAAATACATGTCTATAAACAAATAATCATAAGTATAAAGACGAGTTGAATGGTTAACTTGTAGTTTTATTGATTTAAGATTGCCAATTATGAAAATGTGTTTTTATTAAGATCATCGCTCCAAACCCTAACCCCTATCTCATTCGTTTCTCATCCATACATGAGACAATTAGGATTTTAGAGGCAGAAGATGACAACCCCTAAAGAGCCTACTACATAAATTACCTTAATAACATCAAGTATTTTTAACTCATTTCTACCTTGCCATGATATGATTCATAGTGTGTTAGAAATTAACTTTTTTGTTGTTTTTTTTTGGTCTTTGATTATCTTTCTTTTTTGTTTTTTAAATCTTTATATTTTTAAGTTTTATTTGACTAGACAGATCCAAAAAGAATGTCCATTGAAAATTGAATAAAAATAAAAAAAGAAAAGAAAATAAGGCTTCTTTTTTTTTTGTTGGATATATCTTTTTAAAATTTTAGATTCTTTTACACTAGATGAACTTAAAAGTAAATAATAAAAACAATAATAATGGCACAAATAAAAAACCAAATAAAAAATATATAAAAAAAGGGGAAAATATGATTTTTTGTGGTGACATCCCAAACTTGCCCTCAATATAGAGACACCACATTACAAATCCATCTTTGCACCACTTCATCTCGTTGACATTCTCGACTATGGCAGATATCAATATAGACCATGTTTTGATGTTAAGGATGTGTGGTGAGGTGAGATTGAATGATGATATTAATAGTGCGGTGATATTAAGTTTACATATAAAATTATGTATGTTTGTTTTATTTTATTTTGTTGAAATTAAATTTATATAACTACATACAAAAATCTTACTACAAACAAATGTGTTACTTTGGGCTTATTATTTGGTGCAATTTTTTGTAAGCTAAAAAACGATAATAAAAAACACTTATTTCTCAGCTTCACAATGATCTTGTTTGATAGAACTTATAAGTTAATTTATTTAACTTATTTACTTAAAAAAATAAGAGGATTTGATTGTAATTTTAAATTATAATTTATTTGACTTTTTCAGCTTGTTTGATAAAAAAAAAAAAAAGTGAGATTTTCATAGTTCCATTTATTTGTGTTTCGCCTGTTTAAAACGCTCAAATATGTATGAATATAAAAGTCCAATATATTTTTCACAATTATAACTTTTGAGGGTCATGCATATTTACAACAAAAAATTATATCACAACTTATTAATCAAACATGTTTCAATTTTTTAACATATTATTAGAAGTTATACCAAATAAATTTATAAATTATTTTAAGTTATTAAGTTAATAATTAAAAAATACAATCATAAAAGTTAACTTCTAATCTTCCTTTAAGAGTTTTTTTTTTTTTTTTAAATATCATTTTATTTTTGTCCTTAGTAATTTTTTGTTTTTTTAAAAGGTCAAAATTTTAGTTTCTTACGTAGGTCTAACCAAGACAGTTTTTATTTTATTTATTTTGTAAAACTCATCGGAAAAATTAAAAAAATCAATTTTTAAGTTTGCGCCGAATGAAGATTATTTATTTATATTTGTTGTTGTCTCATTATTTTTTGTCGAAGAGGGAAAACTCTAATATTACGTGGTAATATCATCAATTAATAAACAATCTTGATTTAATCAATTAACAAACAATCTTTCTGACACCCTGGACGTTTAATTAAATACCACATAAATATTTATAGTTATATATAATTGTGAGTGCATGTGATAATATATTATTAAATAAATAATAATAAATACAAAATCTAATATCAAATATGTGATTAATTAGGGATTATTATTTGAAGCCAAATTAACAGAAATATGGAACTATAATACTAGTTTGGCCAAATTAAAGTTAAAGATAGTAGATAAATAAATATAAAAGTAAGAGTAAATAGATAATAATAATAATGGGTGTGGTAGTAAAATAAATAATTAATTTTTTATTAGTATACGATAAAGAATAATTTAATTAGGGATTATTTTGTTTATATAGTTATATTAGAAAACTGAGCCAAAGTGTAATTATGTTAAATATTTATTAAGATAAGTATAAATTCATTTGAATTATGATCAAATCTGGGCAAGATTTGAACAGTGCCACGTGTTGGCCTCAGGATGCTTAAGCCTTTGCTTCCCTATAAACGGGGAAGAATTAATCAATATATGTGGAGTTGATAAAATCAGTGGAGAGAAAAGGAAGAAAAAAAAAGAAAAAGAGAGAGAGGGAGAGGTTCGTAAGTTGTTAGAAATAAGAATTTATAGTAGGAAGGTTGTGATAATGGAGTAAGACTAAGGATCAATATTAAGGTGAGTTATATTATATCTTGAGTTACCATAATATATTTTATATATGTTTTGACTATCTACATTATACAAGTTGTATTTTATTAGTTATATTAATACAAATTATGTTTTATAAATATTTCAATTACGTTGATTAATTTTTGAACTTTATTTGTTTAAAATGGAACCAATGGATATATTTGTTTAAATTTTAAAGAACATTTGACTATAACCTTATAAACAATTATGTTTTGTAAGTACCACCACGGTAGTTCCATGCCTTGAGGGACTTAAATAACTATTGGCCTCTATTTTGCCACTTTGTGGTCCTCTATTTGTCATGGATCCATTGACTTCTGTGACCTCTGTTGTGTTCTGTTCTGTACCGTGGT